GCCCCACTTTCCACTGTGGCCAACGCCTCCACTTTCGCTATAGGTGCTGCCCTTCAGCATCAGATGTCCACTGGCACCCAGCCCTTGGATTTCTTCTCTGCCAAATTGACACCCCAACAAACTCGCTATAGCACTTTTGGTAGACAACTTCTTGCAATTTATTTAGCAATAAAGCACTTTCGGAATTATATTGAGGGCCGATATTTTTCTATTTATACTGACCACAAGCCTCTTACTTATGCCCCTTCTACTTCTTCTGACAAGTATTCGTCCCGCAAGGCCCGGCATCTCGATTTCATTTCTCAGTATAACACCGATATTCTATTTCTTAAAGGCCTTTATAACCAAGTTGCTGACTGTCTTTCTCGGCCTGGCATTAATGCCATCACCCGTCCATCCATCGATTTGGAGCGCATGGCAGAGTTGCAAAACCAGCCGACTTTCACTGAGAGCCTTTAAAACACTAGTCTTCAGTTCGGGCCATTCATCCTTCCACCATCTCCGGCACAATTTTGTGTGACGTATGGCGCGGTGCCTCCCGACCCGTAGTGCCAAGCGAGATGAGACAAGATGTTTATGCCGCGTTGCACAATCTGGCTTACCCTGGCATCCGCACTACCTAGCGCCTCGTCAGCGAGCGTTTCGTTTGGCCTAGCATGAACACTGATATCCACCAGTGGACCAGTTCATGTTTGGCCTTTCAGAAGGCCAAAGTCGGACGACACAACAAAGACCCCATTGATCCTTTTTTCGCATCCGACGCACGTTATGCACGTGTCCATATCGATCTGGTAGGTCCTTTTCCAACATCGCGTGGTTGCAACTACTTACTTACTGCGACTGACCGATTTACTCGTTGGTCCATTGCAACTCCCATAACTAACATAACTGCAGATTCCGTTACTCATGTCTTTTTGGAACACCGGCTCTCTCATTATGGCGTCCCCTCAACTATTACCACCGACCGAGGCCAATAATTCGAGTCTAGACTTTTTAACAGCCTTGCCGAGTTCTTTGGATGTTATAGCATACGTACGACAGTATACCACCCCTTATCCAACGGCTAAGTCGAGCGTTTCCATCGGCAAATCAAAGACTCGCTCCGAGATCATTACAACCCTTCCCAGTTGAGCGAGCGTCTGCCTTTGGTCATGCTCGGTATCCGTACCGCACTCAAGCCCGACTTGGAGTGTTCTGCTGCCGAGCTTGTCTACGGTATTGCCTTACAGATTCCCAGGGATTTTTTTGGATGCTCTCAAAGCTCAGCCGAATTGGATCCAAGCGATTATGTACAAAGATTGCGCGGAGCCATGACTCATCTTCGAGCCACTCCTCCGCGTCCTCCAACAAGTAAGTCGTACATCGACCGGAACCTACTAATATGTTCTTTTGTATTTGTCCCCGTAGATAGCGTTCCTCGGCCACTACAACGGCCCAACGGCGGACCATGTCGAACACTATCTCCCAAGGAAAAGCATTTTACAACTGAACGTGGAGACCGCACCGACGTGGTCTCAGTCGATCTCTTGAAGGCGGCTTATACCGAGCTTCTTTCATCTTCCACAACCAAACAGCCTCCATTCGGCACATTTCCACTTGCGATTTCCCAGACTCCATTTACGCCCAATAACCCCGCGTCATAACTTGTCCCACAGACTCCTCGCCTTACACGCAGCGGTCGTCACGTCCGTTTTCCTGACCGTTACCAACTTGTACAATATGCATAACACTCCTAACCTTTCTTTCTATAAACAATAATTTTTTTGAACTCCTTTCTTATAGGAGGGGTAGTATTGTAGTGACATTTAAGTCCGTTTTGTTTTAATCAGTTACAATACACTGTTTAAAGAACTTGACCCAAATTTGAATGAGACAAAGAACAAGCACGTGCATTTTGCCCGCTGACGACCTTCTTCTTATTTACTAGTTTTTAACAGTTGGGATACAGCTATGTTCGTTTCCCGGATAGCCTGCTCACTGTGCCCAACTAATGGGTTTATCACTTACAGCCCGATCTGGTGACATCTGACAGTTCTCTTTCTTTGATCATGTTCTCCAATCTCTGAAGAATAGTTTTTCGCTTTACGCAGTCCATTTCGACCTCACTAGGGCTTTTGGTCACATGTACCATTCTCTTTTTCTCTTGAAACTTTGCTCTTTCGGAATAGGTGGTAAACTCCTACATTTGATACCCTCTTGCATGAGTGCTCACACACAACGGGTTAAGATTTCCAATGTTATCTCCAACTCCTCATGCGTGAGGAGGGGAGCCATTCAGGGTAGTGTACTTGAACAGCAATTATTTTGCCTTTTTGTCAAAGACATGCAAGATTTATTGCAGAATTGTAAGCCCTCCATGTAGGCCGATGATCTGAATGTTGCATATACATATAAGCCGGCGGATCGCAACATAATGCTGGAACTCCTAAAGAGCGACCTACAAGCCTTTGCCCAGTGGTGCCGCACATGGCGCCTTTCTCGGCTTTGGCAGAGATCCTATCTGCATGAGGTGATAAAGCAGGCCTATTTGTATAACTTGGACCTAGGGCCTTTATGGTGAAACATTCTGAGAGTGGATTATTTTTTAAAATTATGGGCCCAGGAAGTTTGGCAGCACCAAAGGATATAAAACCACACTTGGATGATGAAAACTGCCATGTTGAACCCCATCTGCTTAAGCGTAGTAAATTGGCCTCAATTTTTTCAACACAAACGTTTACCCTGTCCTTAGAATATGAATAAACATAAATAAATAGGCATAAATAAAATTTTGCGAATTTCCGAGTTCAGTCGAAATATCATTGATGTAAAGAAGGAAGAGTGACAGACCCAGAACCATGTTTTGAATTACGCCACTCGGGATCGAGTGAGGTGTCGAGTAGCTATTACCGACCATGACTTTCTGATATCGGTTGGACAGATAGGACCTGATGAAGTCGATTAGAGGCGGCCGAATGCCGAGAGCTTCCAATTTTACTAAAATACGTCTATGGGGCACCTTGTCAAAGGCTTTGCTAAGATCAAAGTAGATAACTACTACTGACTGCCGCTCATTACGAAGAGAAGTGATTAGATTAAGAAAAACCAAGTGACATGTTTCGCAGGATCGTTCAGGTAAAAATCCATGCTGACTAGAGCTCAGAAGTCGATTAGCTAGACAGAAGTCAAGAATTCCATTGAAAATAATCCTTTCAAGAAGTTTTGCTAGAGACGGCGTTTTGTGCACGCCCCGATAGTTATTAACATCGGACCGAGATGCTGACGTGAAGACGGGAATGATACTTGACGTTTTTCATGTTTCAGGAAAGAATCCTTTTGAAATATAAACCGAGAATAAATGACTGAGCAATATGGGAAGGTCGAACGCTTGTTTAATAATCGAATTCGGAATCCCGTCCGTTCCTGGGCAGTGTGAGTATTTCAAACGACTGATGTGTTTCTTAATGAGATCTGAGGAGACGTACATTTTACTAAGTGTCCTATCTGAAAGTGAACGAAAGAAAGGGACCGGATCGGACTCGGTAGCAAGGTGTTTTTCAAAGAAAGCACTAAACAAATCCGCCTTGTCCGTGTCATCTGTGAGGAAGACTTTGTTATCGTTTAGCAGGCGTGGAAGTTCGTGACCACGCTTAGAAGATGAACGAAGTCGGCAGATGCTAACGGCGGATTAGGCGAGGTTTGAATCATTGAGATCAAGTGCTTATCTTTGATATGCGTGCGCTTGGCGCACCCTTGAGGCCATTTCGAAAATCTCTGTGATGCTAAGATGAACGAGTGAGGAACTAATAGATAGGTCACCCAGTTGTCGTGTCAACTTTTTAGCCTGCTGCGAAGAAA